CCGGTCCCTCGCATAGCCCCCCTGCACCTCGGGACTCGGGGGCGCGGCTCTGGTGATTCGCGATGCGATCTCCACCGCGTGTCTTGAGATGCTGATGGCTTCCTCTTGGTTTCTGTCCAGAGCCATGGGAAAAAGGAAGCACGATTTTGGGAGACCCCTCGCGCGCCATGTTGTTTTTTTTGGCGCTGGGGCGTGCTAATTTGTTGCGTGGGCTCGCTTATTTGGAAACCTGTAGTCTTACAGTTGCCCGAAATCGCCACCGTGTGGTGCTGACCACCTCTGGCGTTCTAACCATGGCGCATAAACATATCCCGCCTTCACACATTATTCCCCCGCATGGGGGGCTTACTTAGAGTGAGAGACAATGCCAGTGCCACTGTCGCAGGGTTGAAAAGGCTGGACTTCTATTTCGGTGCCATCCCTGAACAAACACAACGAATAAACGGCCACCCCCCTGCAAGTGGACATGGACGCTTGACATGCTGGACCTCCCCTCCCGAAACAAAAAAACAGAGGTAGGGACCCAAGCACCTGAAAGGGCCAAGAGGACTCGTTTCTTGGGCCAGGCTCGAAACTCTGAAGGAGTGTGCTGGAAGGCCTTGTAGCTTGCTTCACCTTTGCAGACTCGGATGGATTTTCTGACACGCTCCGATCTACTCCCTTGACAAAGTCTTGCAAATAGAAAGGGGGCCCTCCTCGCTCAAAATTTCGAAGTCGGCCCTCTCTGAAACCTTTGCCCTCAGCTTTCCCACGCTTGCCATTGATTGCCCTCTGCTTCCCTGGCCGGATGAACGTGGAGTTGATTCAAGGGCTATTGGCTGCCAAGTTGCCTGACCTGTTCCGTAGACCAGTGTCACTTCCTCCTCCTGACCTGGCTCTGCTGTCGTGGAAGCGGCGGCATCATACCTGAGACATTGGCACCTGTACCGGGCTCTCAACCCCTCCCCAAGCTCCCAAATCCCCCCAAAGCTTCTTCAACTTCCCTCCATCCCCTCCGAACCCCCTTTCAACCTCCCTCCAACCCCCCCCCCAAACGCAAACACCCCATCCTCCCTCCACCCCCAACCATCCCTCCTCCCCCCTCCCCTCCCTCCACTCCGGGCCACAGCCGGGGCCGGCGGCACGGCGCAGAGGGCAGCACCAAGTTGGCGCTGCCCGTGTCGAAGGCCACCAGCAGCCGCTGCCGCGGCAGCCCCACCCAGACCTCCCCGAAGTACCTCGCCCGTGGGAGTCGGGAAAACTCGTGGAGCCGGAGCGCTCGAGTCGGGGGGAGCTCGGCCTTGGGTGAATTACTCTCCGCGCTCTTGTTTGGCTTTTGGCTTGCTCCTTGTCTTTTTGACCGGCGGTGGCTTTTGGAGTTGAGCTCGCTGCGAAACGGGCCGGCGTCCTTCTGTTTCTTGGGGAAGTTCAAGGAAGGCCTGGGGTCTCCATCGAGTCCTGCCGACTTCAAGCCTTTTCAGTTGAGGGTACAGCCCAGCCATATTCGCTGGGTACCAGTTGTACACGCGAACCATCCAAAAAAAAACGTTCATGGTTCAGCGTTTTGGAGACTGCTGGAGAATTGAACAAGCGATGAGGGCAAGTTGTTCACACTATGCAACTCTAGCAGCAAAGTGACAGAAACTAAGTATTACAGTACACACGCTAAACACCATTCTGTGCCTAGGAAAAACACTTGGCTCCATGCTTGACGCCCTGGATCATGAACTATCAAACGCTGAACCATGAACCATCCAAAACGTCAAAAAACGGAACGATTCCGTGGAGCGTTTCTTATGGACCATCATTACATCCTCTCCGCGTGCCTTGCACCCATTGTGGAAATGGACAGCGTCCATCATGCTCCATAAAACATTGTTGGGTGTGCCGTTTTGCAGGGTACCCCTTGTTTGGTGATTTTAAAGGGAAACCAAGAGGAAAACCACAATTCTAGGTCCCTGCAAAAAGACACCCTGCTAATCTCTATGGATTTCTCTTTCAAGCTCCAGATGCCTCTTCTCAGCCAGCAACTCTTGCTCTTTGGCCCCCAAAAAGCAAACAGTCCAGGAAAAGACAAACCGTGAACCTGGAGCTATCAAGTCTTACCCTCAAGTCTCATGCGTTCCCTTCGAAATCTCATGTCCCCCCCCCCTTTTCCTCCAAATCGAATCAGGAAAACCTCTTCACGACTTCAAAAGGCGGCGTTCCTTCGGGGCGCTCCACGGTGCTTTGGGCCCTGCCCCACTGCGGCGCCAGCGCCCGGCGCCGCTTCGCCAGCGGCACCCGCACCACGCCGCTGGAAGCTTCGCCGCCGACACCCGCGCCGCCGCTGGCGCCCAGGGCGGAGGCCAATCCGAGGGACAGCGCGGCCACGGCCGTCATCGGAACAGAGCAAATGGGATGCTGTTTGGGGTATTGTTTGCGGTGCTGGTCACGGTACGGCGTTTTCGTGCCGGAATGGGTGCATTTTTGCGAGATTGATGGTAGGGTGCAAGGGAGCATGCAATGTGGGACGTTAATCAAAATAATATTACGTCGAGCTCTGCCCGAAGGCCTCCAAGACACTCCGAGAATGGGTGGGCCTTGACGTCTTGTCGCTGAACTCACACAAAAGTCCAAGAACGAGTTTGCAGGTTTGTGTCGAGGGCATATGAATACATCTCAAGTGCTGAGGGCTGCAAGTCTTGACGTCAAAAGAAAGCCAGAAAGGGCAGAAGCTCAACTTGAGCTCAGAAACATGACTCAGATGCCCAGTGGCCACTGGAAAACAGGGCATCCATTTTTGGTAGGTTGAGTTTAAAGGGGAACCCTTCACGAGAAAAATTACAAAGAGTGCCACTGGGCAAGTGGAATGATTGCTGTGGGGAAGGTGAGGCAAATCGCACTGCAAGAACTCTTGTGCTCTCCCGCTTTTTCACACCTTCCTTGTGCTCTTTGCGCTGGCTCATTAACTGCGGATCTGGAATCCCTTAAGGACAAACAAAGTTCTCACATCTCCCGGGACGCCATGAGAGTTGCTCACCCGGGCTTCCAGTAGACCCCTGCTACTGGGGCCTAAAGCAAAAGAGACCCTTCGGCCTGACAGGACATGGCGAACGCTCCAACGCCATGTCTGACGACCGCTGAGGTCATGGAACCCAACTCAGCCCGAAACCCCTGCACTGGCGCGCAGTTTCGCGGCATGCACGAGCTGGACAAGCCGGACAGGTCGAATGGGGGCCCTTCACTTCTTGCACCAAATCGCCATCCAAAAACGGTCGAGTTGCTCACATCCTGGGGGACACAGTGAATGACCACCCCCTTCTCTGCGGCTTGCCTTCCGGCAAGCACTTGTGGCTCTCAACCCCGGTGGAGCATGCCGGAAACTCACCTCGGGTGCGCAGCGAGCGAAGATTCCACTTGAAGCGCAACATGTATTGTCAAGTGTCAAGTTGGAGGTCTGGAAAAAAATCAGATGTCATCCCCCTTGAGGTTTCCTTTGGGCTTAAACAAAATGGACTATGTGGCACCCAAAAAGTGCAAGGCCCTTTCTTCTTGCTTCCTTGTCAGGACTCCTGTCACTTGACCCTGCCTGACCGCGAACCCCCGAAGGCTCTAGGGTTCCGGACGACCGCACCATGGCAACAAACCTCAGGTATGCGCAGGAGTCTCATAGGAAGAAAAACATTGGTCTTTTTCCGTTGGTGTCGTTTTGAACAACCAAAAAGGATACCCTCAACCAAAAGACATCCAGACACAAGTAGCCAAAGCTAAACACGCCCACTGCGTGCTGACACAAGCTAGGAAGAACAAACATACAGGCTGTCTGTTGCGCTTCGGTTTGTCCATTTGTGGCAGTCATGCAAATCGAGATTGGACAGGAACAAAGGCTTGGGAAAAAGCTGCTTGTGCATAGGTGTCCCTTTGGGGGAAATAGATGGGTTTCCCTGGTACTAGTAGATGATTAAACCACCAGGGAACCCAGATAAACCCATCGATTTTTCGACCAAACCAACCAACAAGGACCTATGTGCTGGTGCCTATCGCGGCTCTTCGCGCCCTTCGAGTGCAGCTTGTGCGACATCCCAGGTTGAACACTTCCCAGGCCAAGCCAAAAAGCTTTCAATGATGGGTTTGGACTTCACTCGGGAAGTTCATACCCCCTGTTCTTGTCCAACCCACCTAAAAAGTATGTGCCCCTTTTGAGGAGGGGTATGAAGATCAGCAGGCCTTTTGGGTTCATTTGCCCTGTGAAAGGGGTATGTACAAGCACCCCTAGATTCACACTGGTTCCAAAACACATAGGATCACCATTTCATCCACTCTCGATGCATTGCTTTGCCATCAGAAATCTGAGGCGTCGACTCATTAAAATCGATAAAACCTGAGCGCTCCGTGGTACGACCGGCTGAAACTGCACATGGCAATGATGGGATACAGTGAGAAGAAAAAGAAGAAAGAAAGAAAAAAGGAAGAAAAAAAGAACAAAACACACACACACCCTAGAACTAGCTGGTATCCTTTTGGTTTCCTGGCACCATCCCATCTGAAAGCGGACCCGCCTGACATTTGGAGAAGTACGAGCCAGCTTACCCGTGACGAAGGTTGCTCTGAAATCGGATTCTTGTAGTTCTTTGCCCAGATTGGTTGATTTGGGCGTCGTAAAATAAGGGAGATTCCCCCCCCCAAAAGGGCGGTTTTCCTTGTGGATTCCTTTCAACCCCACCAAAAAAGGGTACCCTCAAAAAAGGCACCCATAGAACGGCAAGGGCACGGAGTTTTGGCTACAGTAGATCCATGAAGCAGTTGTAAAGCGGGTGACAGGAGGCCCCCAAATGAAGAGAGCTGCTCACTGGAGTGGGAACCTAATTGTTACAACACAGGGACCACTCTGGCAGCTTGCTGCGTGTGTGTGTGTGTGTGTGTGCCATCGAATTTTGAAAACAACTCTCTTGTGGGGGTTCCCTTGGACTGCGACCACGTTCAATCAAGCGATCTGCAAGGACTTAACGAGAGCCATGAACCAAAATATACGTTGATGGACAGAGAGCTTGACCAAAGCTTAAACCCCAATAAGAATGTGCAATGAACCCGAGGTGACGTTCCCCCCAAGTTCGACAATTTGGGCAGCTGGAATGCATCAGCATTCCATTCCCGCCCGGAGGCCAAAACAAAAACCTCACTCCCATCCTTCGCTCTTGGAAGCTCAAAATGAACGGGATGCCCTAATATTGCAAGTAGGGAACAAGGGAAGCCCTGCAAATGTGCAATGGTTTCCGGGCTGTCCTCAGACTCCCCGCTAAACGTTGAAATTTTCGTGGGTTACATGGAAACTATCACTAAGCGCTAAGCTAAGAACCTAAGGAACCGGATGGCTGGGAACCACCAAGGTTGGTTGTGGCGAACGGGGCATCCGCCGTACAGGTCCAAAGGGCTGAGAGTGTGGGGTCAAAACTCGCATCCCTAACCCACCCCGGAGAAAGTTGAAAAAGAAGAAACGGGCGATTGACCATAGCACATGTGGGCGGCTCGTCTTTTTTCCAGGTACCCCCCAAAATAAAGTGGGTGTTCCTCTTGTTTTTCCTAACAAAAACCACCAAACAAGGGTACCAACCTTTTCAACTCCAAAATCGGACGAACCAGCCAGGTGCTTCCTGAAGCGCTGATGACTCGATGACTCTGGACCCCAGATTTCAGGATCTGGCCGTCCCCATTGGTATCCACATCCGCGAGAATTTTCTGCACTTGCTCCTCAACGTCCCACCAGCGCCCGGAACCCAGCTTCTCCCATATGAGCGATGAAAGGAACGTCTGCAGGTATGTTCAAAATACCTTAGAAAAGCCCGGCCAAACATGGCTGTAGGGGTTGCTCAGCCTCCAATTTCAGCCAAAGCTTTGACCCCCAAGCAGGATTTCCAGGCTCCAGGAAAATCAGCGTGTTTCCCCTACCCAGCGAAAGAGCTCAGCGCCCCCATCGCATCCTTGGAAAGCGCGGTGTGCGCCTGCGGTCGCACACGCTTAGATTTGGGGGATACAGTGTTACAAGTGAGTATGAACTTGGGCTTGTCTCCGAGTCGGTTCCCCCAGAATGGGTGGTTCCCCCACCCCAAATTGGTGCCCCGTGCAAACTCACGGACTGCAACGGTGCCAACTCGAAAAGACACACCCACGTCACAGTCCTGCGAATTGGTTTGAGGTTCCAAAGCAATGGTTTGCACATAGTCGTGGCCAGGAGTTTCTCGCAAAATCGCGGACATGTCCCTGGCACATGTGGCAAAAGCCGTCTCTCTTGTCCACTGGGTCCTTGTGACAAAGTGGAACTTGCCCATAGCCCAAAGCTAACCCTTTCACAATGGCTGGTTGGGGGTCATTCCCACATTCCCTCTGTACAAAACGCGGTCCAAAGATGTCCAAAGAGCCTCGCGAGAATAGAGGACATCCTCCAACTCTTTCATGGAGATGCGGCCATCATCTGAGCAATCGCGCTCGCGGAAATCGCAAATTGGAGGACGGTTCCATCTGAGGGAATAGAGAAGAACATATAGGACTCCAGATATCACGGATAGAATGCCCAATGCAAAACGTGAACAACAAAGTTAACAAGGTGATCATGATGACGATGATGATCATCATCAGCATCATCAGCATCATCAGCATCATCAGCATCATCAGCATTACTAACATTACTAGCATCATCAGCACTGCTAGCATCATCGACATCATTAATATTGTTAGCATCATCATCATCATCATCATCATCATCATCATCATCATCATCATCACCATCACCATCACCATCACCATCACCATCACCATCACCATCACCATCACCATCACCATCATCATCATCATCATCATCATCATTATCATCATCATCATCATCATTGTCTGCATCATCATCATCATCATTATCATCATCATCATCATCATTGTCTGCATCATCGGCATCATCATCCTCATCATCATCATCGTCATCATCATCATCATCATCATCATCGTCATCATCATCATCTTCTCCTCCTCCTCATCATCATTATCATCGTGATGATCCGCTACCAAGCATCAGTACTTGGTGTCCTTTGATTTGTGCTTTCAAACGCGCCTTCCAAAAATCCCAATCATAGTTGACTCTGCCCCCCAAATCTGGGGGGAGCACCGTTCTTGTCGAACACCCGGAAGGCCGCCCACAGCGAGCTCTCCTGCACCTCGCAGCACCAATAAGGCAATAAGCCTTCGAGAAAGTTGTCAGTGAAGTCAGCACCTTCCTTGTAAGGTAATTCACCCAACCAATGGCCAATCAGGAGTCAAAAGAACTTTTTGCCACCCATTTATGGCAAAGGGGCTGTTCCCTACTTCATCCAGCAGCGTGTGTCCGCCTGATCAAAGAAGCAAACCAATTTCCAAGCCCCTCAAAAGGCAAGCCCATAACCTTAAGTCTAATCCAAAACTGGGAACCCCGGGGTGTTTTTTTCCCTGGGGTCTGTGCTTCTGGTGTCCTCGCCGTGCCACCGCAGGATCTGTTTCGGGGCCCCGGCCAAGCACTTCCGCTCCATGGCCGCAGCCAGGAACTCGGTGTAGTCCTGGCCCACTCGTCCCGCGCACGTCCAGCGGCTTTTGGGGGCTTTTGGGTTCCCTCCCGCCTGGTAAGCGGCTTTATGTTTATATATATATATATACCAACTTCGGTTCTTTGCTTGTGTTAATTGGGGTAGGATACCCAGCTCGTTTTCTTTGTGGGGACCTTACACCCACGAAAAGAGGGAGAAAAAAAAAAAAAAGGCCCCCCAAGGTCTGCCCGGCCCCATCAAAGCGCCGGCTGGGCGATCTCCCCGGAGCCATCCGCATCCACCGCCTTCGCGAGCTCCTGCAGCTCCTCGCGCCGGCGCCGGCGCTGCCGCGCCAGAAGCGAGCGAAGCTGGGTGTCTCCGGCTTGCGTTGGGAAACCGAAAAGGGAATTCATTGGGGGAGGTCTTGGGGGGAAGAAAGGTCTTGGGGGGGTGTGGGGGGGGGGGGGTCTTCTACAAAAGGAGGGATGCGAGGGATGCGTAAACGGGACTTGCTCAGCACTATCGTCAGCGTCACCAAAGGCGTCAGCATCCCAACTTGCACCCCAAAATCGGGCACGCCCAGAACTCGCGATGAGCATCTCCAGCATGCGAACGCCGCAAGCGTTCGTATCAACAGAAGCGCCAGCAGCATGAGCATCATGAGCATCATCAGCATCACCAGCATCACCAGTACCATCCACAAATAGGAACGCCAGCATCACTAGCACTGCCAACACTGCTCTCACTCATCCAGCAAGAGGTTGGCGATACCCCTAAAAAAAAGCTCAACAAGAGAATTGGAATGGCTGGGATCTACCGTGTTAGGGCCAGCCAAGAGAATAACATGAATAACATGTGTCCAGACGATGGCAAAGGGTACAGTGGAAGATGGAAGACAAGGGAATGTGCCGCACAAGACTCAACTGCCAGCGTTTTGGGGCTCAGCCCAACTGTCATGGAAGCATTTCTTCGAAGAAAAGCTACTCTCATGACATTGGATTGGGTGCAACGTTTCTGTTTACTGCAATGCCTCTGAACCGGAGAAAATAATAAGAAGAAGGCAAAACGCGCGCAAAGTCACAGACTGGTGCTTGATTGCGCGATGGGTCAGTGAGAGGTCTTTCGTGTTGTGGAAGACCTGCGCGATCGGACGCGTCCTGGTTGCTGAAGCCATTGCTGAGCCCTGCTCTCTTCCTCAAATGTGATAAAATGGCATGCAACTTCTTGGCTGGAAGATGCCAAGAAAAAAGAGCTCTCACTATGTGGGAATATCGGAAGAACCCTTTCTGTAGCATTTGATCCTGCCCAGAGCTTCCTTACCGTTTGTCCAAACCATCCTACGGCAAAATGAGCCAAGGCCTCCATGTCCCTGCAGACGAAATGCTGGCTGCTTCGCCAAAGACGCATGCGCGAAGCTGCTCTCGTCACCCTCACTCGGGCTCCCACATACCTTGCTTCAGCTCGCTGAAGGTAATGACGCCGTCCCCGTTCTCGTCCAGCTCGCTGAACTGCTTCTTGAGCCTAAAGGTCCAAGCCAATGCACCGAGCCGGATTTCCAACCTCAAAAACAACGAGAGCAGCGGCTGCCCCCCCCTTCCCGCCCCGCAACAAGCCCCTGGCAGAGCGAAGACCTCATCGTTCTGCTGGCGCGCCAGGATGTGCAGGGCCGCCTTCTTCAGGCGATGCTCTGCACCTCAGCGTCTCCCTTTTGCAACAGAAAGCTGCGTTGCAACTTCTGGTCGGCTTCTATGATTCGACACACAGGGTGAACAAAAAGGGACAGGTTGTGTTCTTTTTAAGCCAAACCACATTCCAAGTGAGGGATGGGAAGAACCATGTTCCCAGTGAGGGAAAAAGCTGGAGATCCCTGCACCTTGGACATGTGGAGTCGGCATCTCGCTTGGACCTGGATTGTTGGTCCAATTTCCTGACCCAATGATCCACTTGGCCCGAAGCCATAGTTTTCTGACCCTGCGAATTGTCAAAGGAGCTCGGCATATCGGGGAGTTGCGCGAAAGGCAGCCGGCCGGGATGGTCAGGGATCTCTTTTTGCCGGTGTCGCTCTCTGGTGCTACTGGGGCTCTTTGCGAACTTGAAACCACCAAACAGGGGCGACCCCAAAAAACAGATCCAAAAATGAGTGGGTCTTTGGTTTGAGGATACCCCTTTTGGAGTGTGTTTAAAGTAAACCAAAGGGAAACGAACCATTTAAGCTTCGGGTGTATTTCAAGAAACACCCCAAGTTTTATGGCGCCAGAACGGCGACCTCCCAAAGGGGTCGCCGGACCGGGTTCTGAGTCTGCGGCTGTACTTGCGCAAATTCTCCATCACCGCCTGGCACGGGAGACCAGATCCAAAGACTCTGTGCTCGGCCCGCGTCGGACGTCTATGAGCAGATTCCAAGTGACTTTACATACCATTCTGAGAAGACCATCGATTGAACCAGCCATCCCCTCTCAGCAAGAAAGCCATGCATTTGTGTCTCAGCTCCACTCACAGCTTCCCCCCCCTCTCCCCGCACCCCGGAGAGTGGTGCGGTGGCGTGCTGCCTGCGGGCGAAGCACCGGAAGCTTCGATAGGGTTCGCGGTGCGAACCCGCGGATGTGAGCATGGTAACCCCGTTTCCCCTGGAAAAAACGCAAGCAAAAAAAGCAAAGCGATGCCCAAGCGAGCAAAGCTTGCAACCAAACTTGCCTGCGAAGTTTGGGAAGCAAGCTTTGGGCGAGCTCGGTGCTCGTTGAAACTGCACATCCGTTCACACGATGCATTTGCCGCTCTAAGTTTGATCCAAACATGTCCCCTTTGGTTCGAGGCCAAACTTTGGCCACGTCTGGATGTTCTGAAGGTCCAAACATTTCCCAACACAACCTGCAAAACACTTCCCAGACACGCTTCTGGCAAGGGAGGGGGCCGGCTGTCACAAGAAGCACGACCCATGTCGCACACAACACAGGCTGCAACAAGCACCGTTTCCGCATTGCATAAGAAACCACAAACTCCTAAAGAAGCAGATGTCCGCCTCGAGAAACACCGATCTGCGTTGCAGAATCGCAACAATCACTGTTTCTGCAAATGGTGCTTTCTTTTGCAACGCGAGGAACAACACTCACCAAACACACATCCGCTAAGGCAGCCGTCGCCTTCGCCAAAAAAAAGAAGAAAACACAAAAACAATCAGCGTCAAAAAAACAATCGTGTTGCAAAAAGAATGCCTGCGTCAACAACCCTTCCTTTTATTGGCATTTAAACAGCAGCTCCCATTGCGAAGCAAAAACCAACTCTCCTGGGATCGACGAATAACAAAATGCACGGTAAGCCGTCACACAAAACACCAGTCGCTGACGCAAAGCACACGATCCCCTGCGCAACCAGTTTGGAGGGGGATCCTTCATGTGGGGGGAAGCGCCTACTATTTGCTCAGATTAATACGGGATCTGCTTCCCAACCGTTCTGAATCCAACCGTCGCAAATACCGGCCGGACGTCGCCAAAAAAGAACTCCGGACGGACGTCGCAAGAAATGTCGCTTGCGAAACACTTCCCCCGGCGCGCGTCGCGTAAGAAAGCCGCCGGCCGGGCGCAGAACAACTTTGGTCTCAGGTTGCCGGTTCAATGCCAGGCCTGTGGGAACCAAGCAGAAAGTTTGCTGTGCAAAAGGCAGACCTGGTTAGCCCAAGGGTTCCCAAAAGGCTAGCTTCCTCTTTCCAAAAAACCCATCCCAAAGCTTGCTGGTGCTCAGCAAGGGAATGACCCCAAGAAAAACCAGCCAACTGGTGGTTCCTGCATTCCCACATTCCCTACTGAGCACCAGCAAGAAGAAGAGAACCCAACACAACACACCCAGCCCACTGTGGGCCCGGGCGCCGTGTTCACGATCCAAGGGTCCTTCATGGCCTCGTCAGGCCCCAGTTCCCAGTTCCCAGCCTTCCGAAAGACCCGGTTTCCCACCAGAAAATCCTGTTTAAAGGCAAATGGTCTTCCAGGACCCTGTGAGGTTCCATGTTTGTCATGGAGGTGCCCCCCCTTCCCCCTCCGAGAAAGACAGATCATCGCGGAGGTCATGGATGGATGCGGACCTCACTATTTTGCCAATGAAACAAAACAACATCGTCAAGCGGTTCTTTGCCGATCAAATACCAAGCCACGCAGTCCTTCTGCAACCCAAGTGGCAACTGTTTGGACCCAGCCCAAAGGCAAAAGCCCACCGCTCTCTCTGCCTCTCTCTCTCACTCTGCCGACCCCTCTCTTCCAAAAGGGGGAAGCGCACGGGCAGAGTAATTCAAAGAAGAATGTCACTTGCTACCATATCTCACTTGCAATGTTACTACCGTTTTACTTGTAGATGTCAAATTGCTCAGTTAAAACCTCGGCCTTGCTTTTTGGCTTGGTTTCAAGCCAAATCCTTATGGAATCACATTGCGAACACCTGTATGATTCTCACGTCTTCGATCCACAAACCGAAAGTCAAAGAGGGGTCAAATAAACGAACCATATGATTGTTTTTTTTCGAACAACCAGACCTTGGCCCAAGGGTACCATGGGTGTCTAAAAAGGGTCGACCCGACGAGCGCGGTCCCGCCTCTTTGGCAGACAAGCGCTGCTCCGCACTCTTCTGAAGCAGCTTTCGGATGAGGTCCTCTGCAAAACGCCCCAGAAAGACGCCTTTTCTCAATGGGCGGTTCCTCATTGAAAGAAACCTGGCAACACCTTTGTTGGAACAAGTGAAACAGCTCAGGGTCTGGTTAATCTGTTGAAACAATGCTTTTTGTTTTGAACTGCCCCAATTCTCAAAACAACCCCCTCCCCGTATGGTGGACACTTAGGGTCTATTCTGCAACTTCCTTCATCAATGGTTTGAGGGTTCTCGGCCGCAAAATAACCTGTAAACGGGTAAGTATTTTTGTGAGGGGACCCCGAGGATGGTGGTTGTCCTGTGGTTTCCCCTTAACACCCGCCCACCAAAAACGGGGCACCCTCAAGACACACATGGTGGTTTTCCTTTGGCCTCCCCTTAAAACCTACCAAACAAAGGGGTACCCTCAAGACACACCCAGATGTCCATGACACCCTCAGCCCTCCACTGCGCCTTCGCAGCCTTGGACACGCCTTGGAAGACCTCCGGGGGGAATCCGAACTTGCCGGCCATCACCTCGCTCGCGCCACCCCGTGCGGCCAAAGGGAAAAAAGCGAAGCCGCAGAATTGTGGGGGTCGATGGGGTAGAGAGCGAAGAGTTGATATGAAGAATTAACTGAGTCAATCATAGTTGACTCTGGTATTCACTCCTTTTCGGATCGATGGTTGGGGCTTAATTTACCCCCCACGCCATGTGGCTCCGTCTTTTTTGGGGGTACCCCTTCTTTGTGGCGCTTAGGGCAACCAAAAGAAAAACACAATTGTTTATAAGGAGTCCCCTAAAAACAGACACTCCCATTTTGCGAGCTCTCCAACCCGCTTTGAGACAAACCCAAATCTTGCTAGCTCCGGCGTCGAAATCAATGCTGAGCTTATAGGAAAGCGCAAGTTAAGCGCCCTGCTCTCGTCAGGGTGTCTTTGGTCTTCTGCTCCTTGAACGGGAATATGCCCGAAAGCAGAATGTACCTCGAGAGATGCTTCAGAGGATGCATGGGCCGGACAGGATAAGAGACATGGGGAGTGGCAGAAGAGGGTGTCCCCACAAAGGCTCGCCTTTCTGTCAACCCCGCCCCCCTCCCCCTCCCAATAATATTTGGTTTTTCTATGGGATGCGTGGGTATTTTCAAATGGACCGCTCGGCGCGCATGATCACTCCCGCGCTCCAGCAGTCCACCTTTTCGTTGTACCTGACAAGCCATTTCACCGCTCTCCCCCGCAGTCCCCGAAGGCTGAAGGATTTTTAGGGCTGGTTGCCTGCTGCACAAGGGATCATCTCTAAATCAATTGGTAAACATATGGGTGTGTCTTCTCAAGGGGTCCCCCCCTCCCTTCTCCTTTTAGTTTCCCTGTAACAAAGAAGGGTACCCTCGAAAAACGACACACCCATCTTATCGCTGGTCGAAATCCGCATCTATCGCCCCACCTGGGGAATCGCGTGATCACCTCGGGAGCCACGTAATACGGCCTGGCGCGATGGGTCTGCTCGCTTCTGGTTGGGCTCCAAGCCTTGGATTTGCTCCAAAACCATCCACTCCTTCGGATTCCTGACTAGGGAAACCAAAAAAAAAACGAGACAGCCGTGGTTCTTTGCTTCTTCTTTCTTTCTTTCTTTCGGAAACCCGAGATCCAGTCGGGGGGTCCCTTACTCCAAAGTCCCCCGCCGGCTCCGAGCAAAACTGGCCGGGGCCACGTGCCCACCTTTGAGGTCATGGCCGTTATGGTGTGGCGCCCGGCCTTCCGACTCACCGAAAGCTCTTTGGGAGAGGGAACCAAATTGGCTGGTCAAACATAGGTAAAAGGGGTGGCAAATGGAAACATGGACGAAAACCTGCGGTTTTCTGGTAGTTCAAAATTTTGACCCATACCCAATTTGCGTGGTGAGACAAAAGGAGTTGAAAGTGCTTAGTACTACTGGAGGTCAGCATGAATTTGGAGTCCCAGACCTAGTTGACTCACCTAAAGGCGTGGCTGGTTTTCACTCGGCCAGGTGCGCGTTGCACCATGGTGGGTTGGAGACAGTTTTTGCCAGGGGTGCAAAGCTACATGAGATCACCAAAACCCAGCGTCGAAGTAGCACTTTCAAGCCACATCACCCTGAAGCGAGGTTGTTTTGAGGTCCGAATTTGCCGGGGCCCCTGCGGTTCGCCCCAATTTTGGTCCCAGGCATCCCCACCCCTTCCACACATCACGTCCGACATGTCCGCGCAAGAGCAAGGCAGCCAAGCCCAAACTGGTGGCTCCGGCTCGCGAAGCCGAAGGTCCACACTGAAAACGGCTGGCCCGTTGCAACCAAATTTGCACCTTGCTTTGCATTTCTAAGCTCCTGTGCCCGAATGCAGGACTTTGATACAAACTCTTGCAGGGGAAAGCGTCGTCAGTCTGAAAAATTCTGCAGGACCGAAGCACAAGTGCAACTGTTTACACCTACAAGACTCCATCTGGAGGGGCCAGAAAGGCAGCCCGTGTCACTAGCAAGGAAGAGCATCAGACCACTTGCGCTACAGAAGGGCCCCACCACGATTTTTGAAACCTAACGGAATCCGTTCCCAGAAACATCCGTTCAGCGGCACGCACACGCTTTTTGGAATCATCATGTTTGATTCCGTCATCTGGGTGGCCTCTTCGAAGCTAGAAGCCTGGACTGCCTTAAACTCAGACAAAGCAGAGCTTGACCGGGGAAACGCCAATCTAAATGCGCCACTCTGGGCTCTAAGCCTGGACGCAGCAAAATGCCCACGACTTTTCACGACTTGCGCTGTCCGGGTTAGGCCTCGACCAAAAGCTGCGACCATCGATGGTTCAATCGAGTCCAATTCCCAGGAGTACGGCAAGGGCTCCAAGAAATCCGCCGATAGTTTTTGTCCATGGTTTGTCAATAGTTTGTAACTCTTCAAGCGTCTAGGGGCGAACGATGTTCGTCAATATGGACAAATTCTGCCGGCAATTAAAGGACATTCACGAAGCGATTGACGAAGCTGTTGACGAACCCGTTGGTGAACCCACCGAGTTGCCAACCTGCACAAAGTCAATGACAAGTTGGTGCGCTTGCTTTTGCTGTTTTAAGCGGTTGCACCCATGGGATGCTCCACATAGCACCGAGCACCAACTGCTTTTGTATCCTGCATGCAATACTGTTTCCAACATGCACAATGCCCCCAGCATAGAGGGTTCTGCAAACACCTGCGTTGCCAACGTTAAAGTAGAACACTGTTTGGCAACGGAAGCATAGAAATACGCGCCTGCGTGCATGCGTGCGTGCGTGCGTGCGTGCGTGCGTGCGTGCGTGCGTGCGTGCGTGCGTGCGTGCGTGCGTGCGTGCGTGCGTGCGTGCGTGCGTGCGTGCGTGCGTGCGTGCGTGCGTGCGTGCGTGCGTGCGTGCGTGCGTGCGTGCGTGCGTGCGTGCGTGCGTGCGTGCGTGCGTGCGTGCGTGCGTGCGTGCGTGCGTGCGTGCGTGCGTGCGTGCGTGCGTGCGTGCGTGCGTGCGTGCGTGCGTGCGTGCGTGCGTGCGTGCGTGCGTGCGTGCGTGCGTGCGTGCGGCGCCGCGCG